TGTCACTGTGTGTGTCACTGTGTGTGTCACTGTGTGTGTCACTGTGTGTGAGTGTGTGTGTGTGTCAGTGTGTGTGTGTGTGTCACTGTGTGTGTGTGTCACTGTGTGTGTGTGTCACTGTGTGTGTGTGTGTCACTGTGTGTGTGTGTGACTGTGTGTGTGTGTCACTGTGTGTGTGTCACTGTGTGTGTGTGTGACTGTGTGTGTGTGTCACTGTGTGTGTGTCACTGTGTGTGTGTGTGTCACTGTGTGTTGTGTGTGTGTGTGTCGCCAGCACATCTGTGTTTACAAGGTACATATGATAGATATCTTCATAGGTTTAGCTGTGTTCGGATGTAGATAGAAGATGTCCTTTGTTGGATGAAACTCTTTGTGTGGCTCTATCTCTAGCTTATCTTGGGATACATCTGGTTCTCCAGGTGGCCTTGATGGCAGAAAGATAGAATGCCTGCTCCTGGAGACCCACCTGTGACAGGGCCCATGCCTTTTCCAGAGCTTCCCTGCTGAGGACTTTGTGTTTCTGCAGCTCTTTTCCTCCCAGATTCCATCCCTGAGCACATACAGCAGGGCTGAGCCTCCCCAGGCCCTCCCTACCCCTAGAGCAGCCCAACCCACGAGGAAGGCTGCCCTCCCTGCCTTGGGTCTTGTCTTCCTCAGATCCTGCCACACACCAAAGGCCTCATTATCAGCTGGTGCTTCACATGCCTTAAAGAACAGAGCTGGAACTTGGTGACCAGTAACAAGTAAAATCTGACTGGTGGTTCACCTTCTTTCTGCCTATATTTAACCCAGGCTACACCCACCATATTGCCTCTGTCCCCATGGAATATATAGAAGGAAACTTCTCAAGTTCCTGCTGGGGAGCCTGGTTGTTATCTCCAGAGGAACATTCCTGTCCAGTGGTGTCTTAGCTGTACCCCCTCCCTTTCTTTCTGCTTCCTCTCCTAGCTTCCCCCAAGGCTTGGGAACTGACCTGGCCTTGGGTGGTGCAGGCCCTGATCCTCCTTGCTTTGTAAATGGAGATAGAAGGCAGAGGCACAGACACGGGAGTGAGGGTGACTTGAACTCCGTGATTCCTAAAAAACAGTGGTTTCCCAGACTGGTGCCCACTATAGTTGCAAGGTCCCACTGGGGCTCCAAATGGTGAAGCTAGAGGCCAGGTTGAAAAAATGTCCCCTCACAGCACGTTCAGCCACAGGTCAGGACCCGGCATAGTCGCATGGACTGTCTGGAAGTTGGAAGACAAGCACTGGCATCCAGACCCTACACTGGCCACAGTGGCTCTCCCTTGTATCCTTGAGTCTGGCTGACAGCTGTCTTTTCTGGAAACCCAGAGAATCACTCGTTGATTAGAAAGTTTGTCGATACTGCCCTCCAGGGTGGCTTCTAACCCTTTGGAGTATGGGACCCAGAAATGCCACCACCTGAGCAAAATGAAAAGCTGATGGAGCTAGACACCCAAGTAAAAGTGCACCCCTAAGATGAAAGCTGCCGAGGGGGATCTCTTAGTTACATGTTGGGTCTAAAACTGTAGTCCTCCAAAGCCCACTCAGTTCCTTCCCCTTTCTTTCTCAGCTGATGCTAAGTGAATAAAACCAAGAACCCAGACTGGGAACGGAACACCCAACCAAAGTAAGAATGACTGCTTTTCCAGGGAACATGGTGCCCTGGAAGTTATAGGAGATCATGGGCCGTCTGCTGCCCCGCTCCAAGAAGGACAAGCCAAATCTCTGCTTTATCTGCACTGGAGATTGCGTCCTGACAACTCCGGGCACTTAAACTAAAGCAACCAAGAGAGAGCCCGATGGTTCCATGGGTTGTTCACTCTAAAACCTGCTGGTACCTTTGGCTGTTGACACAATGCTTGCTCTTTTGTAGTTTCTGTTTCTAAATATTATAATAATAATAATAATAATATTCATCTTGGGGCTGGAAAAATGGCTTAACTTTAAGAGCACTGGCTGTTCTTCCAGAGTACCTTGGCTCACTCATGTCCCAGCACCCACAGAGTGGTTCACAACCATCTCTAACTCCAGTTTAGGGGATCCAGCACCTTTTTTTGGTCTCCTTGGATTTATGGTACACAGACACACATGCAAGCAAAACACCTATATACAAGAAATAAAATAATTTAAAAAAAATTTTTTTAATCACTCATCTCCAAGACCCCCAAGGCCCGAAGCACTTAGCTGCCCTAAGGAGGAGAAGAGAGATGATAGATAGATAGATAGATAGATAGATAGATAGATAGATAGATAGATAGAGATAGATAGATAGATAGATAGATAGATAGATAGATATGATAGATAGATAGATAGATAGATAGATAGATAGATAGATAGATAGATTTAAGGCTCATTGCTGGTCCTGTTGGGGTGGGTGCAGGGCAATGTGATTTTGAGATCTTTAGGTCCCCTCTCTGTGGACTTAGATATGAGCCGTAGGGAGCACCATGATGGAAAAAACAGAGGGGATAATGAGAAAGGACCTCTGCCCCAGGGCTGTGCAGCACAGCAAGGCCACCTATTCATCTTCTGTGTCGGGGGAACAGCCGCCTGCATGGCTGACGATCGTGCTCTTGGAGTCGGCTCTGTCTGGTGGGCTTCCTAAGTGGGCCTGTAAGAATGAGCCCTACTAACCATGGGCATCACATTATGGGGCACTGAGAGAGCACACTGCAGTCAGGCCCAGCTCTGTCTCCCTTGCAAGCGGCCTGGCAGCTGCACCCCATGCACTCAGATCAGCCTATGTGCATGAATTGCTTTCACCCTCTTCAGATTCCTTTCTCCTCCTTTCTGCTACCTCTTGAAACCAGATAAGCCCTGGTTTTTTCGTTGTTTTTTGTTTTGTTTTGTTTTGTTTTTTTCTCTTATACACAAAATTGGAACTGAGCTCTAGAAGAGACATCTCTTACTCTATAGCTCATTAGCGATTGGGTGGCTGAGGCTCTCTGGTTATATAGCAATGGATGGTTATGTGTACTGTGAACCTTGAGTTTGTAGCTTTTCTGAGTCAATAGTCGGTGACACTGGAAATTGTCATGAGAATGCAGATTTTAATAGCTCCAGATTCCACTGTCTGACTGGAAGCCACTTGGCTGACACAACACCAGGAAGGGATCTGAGGTGATTCCTAAGCAGGTCTTCTGAAAGGTGTCTTCCCAGGGTAAGAGCCTGTGTTAGGAAGAAACTCCTCCCACAGCACCCCTGCAGGTGGTGCATGCTGGCCATTCATCACATGGAGACTTGGGGTTGGAAGAGGCCTTC